ATTGTTTCAAACAAACATAAATTGCAAAGAATTAATTTGAAGCAAAAGATCAAATTCTAATCTAATTTTAAGTTACTGTGCCCATAAACATGTTTAAAAACAGCCAACCAATATTTCTCCACATTTTAATGCACTTTGAAAAACAATAGCCTGTGCATTTTAAAAGTAATATGGAAAGACAATAAGTAAATCAAGTTAAATTACTATTATTTTTTTTTTCAGCTTTTCTAAGTGACACACCTCTCAAACGATCTGCCATTGAGTCCAGAAGACAAGATTATTGGATCTATATACACTCTCATTCACTTCAGCACCCCTCCTTTACAGCATTTGGAGACCTAGTTTATTACCAAATCATTGAGCCTTTATGACTTTGAATTACCAATGAGGCATTTTTGTTCATTTAGCATAGCAATGTTACCAGTTACAGTGGCTTTATCAAAGGTTTCAAATACTTTTAGGATTCCTAAAGCTCCTGATTCTAGAATCCTCAACTTTACAAGGATGTTTTTTACAAAATACTCCTTATTACAACTTCCAAATGAATGGGGGGAGGATTTTATTTTTTTTTAATTCTTTAATAGGACCATAATCTAGATATCTGTGGGGACGGAGTCACAATTTTTAGTACCTAGGTTTGTGATAGTAAAATTTCATACTGCTTTAACTGAATTAATACATTTATCTTTGAAAATGCAACAAGTTGCACAGCTGAATTACTACAGATGGCTTTTTTTCTTACACACAAGTTAATTCACAGGTGGACAAAGCCCCTCTACTATAAGCAGTTTAAACAGTAGTTTTAACAAATGGTGTTGAAGAAATTTTGCATATTTTGCATTATTTCCTATGTTGACTCTGACTGAAACTCACACAGATTCAATGCCTGTTTTCACTGGCAGACATAAATCGGGGGGGGTGGAGGAGGGGTCTGGGAAACAATTATAAATATATAAGTGCCAAAATAATCTGAATTTACTGGTCAGCCTTTAACACCTGAAATACAGTAGAAAAACCCCATATACTCTAATTGGTGAATGATATTGGAGGCTAACTGGGATCAAGTATTTTTCAAAACTTTTTTGCATAGTCACCAAAAATGATCTGAAGTTACACAGCTCTCCAAGATATCAGACTCCTCTTTATTTCTTCCCTTATTCCTATTTTTGAATGACTTTTAGTTTAAAGGTTTTCATGCTCATAAACATATGTTTGATGTTGAACTTCAAACCTCTCTCCTTTAAGGCAATTCTACACATTCAGAGCTTATTCACAATAATTACAGTATCTCTACACTGTATTCTAGCAAGCTGTACATGTTTACCACAAAATTGTTGCCATGTAAAAGAAGAAAAATTTAGTCATTTAAATATAGTCCAAGGGGAACAGAATTAAACAAAAAGCCCAATAAAACTACTACATTTGTCAGAGAAAAGAAAGCAAGTGTAGGTCCTAGTTCAGGTCCATATCACTATTTAGGAAAGCAGTAAGAATGCATCAAATATTATCCACAGATTATATTTTTATTATTTACTAACACACTTCAGTGTAAATCAGTTGTAACTTCACTAGTATATCATTGACATGACTGTAAATAGAAACTTGAATTCTAACGCATCCATGATGCCTTAGTATAACAATGTAAAAGCCCAGAGGGAAGAATCTTTCCTCATTAGCAGAAGTAGGACATCTTGGAGCACAACATTTAAGAACCAGAGAGATGACCTTTCCATTACTGGAACAAGCTACAAGAACAGAACTTGTCTGCAGCCATGTCTTGCCTTCCATACACAGTCTTAAATCAGGTAATACATCTTGCAAAACATACAGTTGTTCAAACTTACACTTGAATGGTATTCTAAGGCATCCAGCTCACCTTGGTTGTATACACATTTCCTTTTACGTTTCTGTAGAATGAGCAAATGGTGGGGAAAAAAAATCCTTATTACTCCATAATGAAAAGGAAAAAAAAAATTTAAAAAACAGAATTACAAAATCACTCCTTTAAAAGCAAAAGAATCTTTTCATCTCTTCCTTTTTCTAACACAAGTGTAAGTCCAGCAAGCAAAAAATATTATTTCAAAATACCTAGGCTGCTGTAGTTATGTTACTCATGGCTCTGGGATCTGAAGGTACCTAGTACATGCCACAGTTCATGTTCATGCCTCCTTTGGGCCCACACAAGGTATTTGTTCAGCTGCCAAGTGCAGTTTACTAATAGGAAAAAAATAACTAGGTCTTCAGTATTCTATTTGTTAGTTTAGACCTGTGACTCCCTTTTTTGTTTTATCCATAAGGAACAGTACCGGACAATGCACATATTGAAAGTAAAGTCATACTGTCCTTCTTGTTACTTGCACAATCCTGACAGTTGCCACAGTTTCAGTCCAAGTACCTGACCACAGTATCAGAAGATTCTGTGAGCAACGCACTGCTTTTGAGTCACAGGATGTATGCTACTGACACAAGGACATCCTCATGAGTACTTACATTTACCATGCATCTTGAAATCTATTGTTCCTGCTCTACTACACAACCTCAGGAAACTGAAATGTGCAACACAGTGTATTATTTACTAGGAGCTTTTGTCATTTACCATATTATGGAGAACATACCTTCCTAGCACTGGCAACAGAATCTCCAACTTCACTCTTGGCTCCTTCTTGATGTTCCTCTCTGTTGCTGTTGGCCTGTACTTCTGTGCCACTCACCTCTGGGCATCCCTGCCACAGCTGCTTCTCAGGAGCTGCAGCTATATGGGGCTTAGAAATGTCAAAGAACTCATCCCGAAACACATATCTCTTTTTTGCTCTTTTACCTTCTGTTTCTATTGCATCTCCAGGATCCAGAAGAGGACCACCTCTCCACAAAGAGGTGGCAACAACACTTGAAGTAGCATGACAACCTCCAGTAGAAGCGACAGAGTTATTGAGAGTTGCACCACCAGGGCGTGCGGAGGAGTCACAGGTTTGATAGCCACACTGGTTGATGAAGGAGAGATGATCCACAAGCCACCCCGCTGCCAGCCGATGCACCACGGACATCGCAGCTCCCGCCTTCAGGAAGGAACAACTCCCTGAAACCGCAGCCAGTAACCGCATGCACTTCCTGGAGCAAACTCCTCCTGTGGGAATTTTTTTTTAAGAGTTCACTTTTCAGAATTGTCAGCGTTTAATACAGCAGCCCTTGTCTTCCAACAGACACTTCCATGAGCGCACAGGGCACACTGCGGAAACTTCTGCCTTCAGCCGGTTTTCCTACCACGGCTTCCGCTCCATCGCTCATTTTTCTTCATAGCAAGCGAGCTTTACGTTTTTTCGATAACTTTACACAGTACAGATTTACTCTAAGATGCCACTTTTAACGAGTCAGGAAACAGCAGGATGAGCCAGCAAGCACACAAACCCAGACTTGAGCTGACCGGCCCAAGGGCGGCCCAGCCCAGGCCCCAGGGGGGGGGCACCCAGGCCCCGGCAGCTCGGGATGTCCCTCAGAACCCCCGTCCCCCGCCACGTCCCGCCGCCGCCCCGCGGGCCGAGCGGCCTCACCGCACAGACGCGC